AGGCGCTGCGGTGGAGTGGGCTTGGAAAATGATGTCAGGCAGCATTTTACTATTTTCTGATGCAGGCATCAGTGAGGTAAGCCCTATTTGATTACAGGATGTGCCTCACAATGGGAGAGCAATTACTTTAAAGTTGTGATTACGTCGCTCAATCATCCAGGGAAAGAAATCACCAAAAGGTTGAAACCTGCAGTCAGCTGAGAATGAGGAAGTTACCTGGATGAGTGATAAAACGTTTCTCCCACGTGCACATGGACAGAATCAACTTTAGGGGATTGTGATTACGTCCCTAACGTTTGATAGGTTTTCGTTTTTCATACCGGAGCTAATGAGAGACATTTAAAAACGCTGTAACGCTGCTCTTCTGTGTGCAGCATGCTCTGTCTCAGCTGTGAGGCTGTCGTGTCTTTTTTTAAAAAAAAAAACATATTTTACTTGTTTTAAAGAAAACCGGTGTGCGGATTTACCTGGCGAGCCACGAAGCAATTAGTTACCGAGTTTATCACTCACGTTACATAATTGCGCAAACGTTAGCTACTAGCATGAAAACAGGCAAAACTCGGTGTGTAGCTTGTGTATAAAACACAAGCTACACACCAAACACACTAGACTTGGTTCTGTGTCAGTGATGCCGTGCGGGAAACGACGGCAGCACGGACCGCATGTTTCCGGTGCTAACGTGAGCCCGCTGCTCTCACCGTTTCTAAATCAGAGCTGGAGATTTCCTTCTCCTCCGCGTAGTCTGTCACTCTCTCCAAATCAGCGGCCCCGCTGTCATGTTTCCGAGGCTTCTCTGCCGGCTTCCCGGTGCAGTTTTCCTCGGCTTCCAAGTCCAGATCGACATCTCCTTCCGCCGCCATGTTTGCTCGAGTAACGCCGGAACAAAGAGGACGGTTCCTAGAACTATCGGATGGAATACGGGGTAGTACCGGAAAGCTTTAAAAAATAAAATTCCAGCTCCCTTAAAACAAAAAGTTCTTTAAAAATAGCAATAACAAAAACACTGTCAACAAAATTAATTAAATGATAAGATACACACAACAAAAATGAAAGTGTTCAGTTTAAAAATACTGCATGAGACTTGTTTGTGAGGAAGAACTCATTCATATTTGTCCGTAGATACTGTAATATCTTTATTTCATGTAGTCAAATATGATTCTGCAATGTTGCTCAACCTTGTAATGGATATGTGTATACATAATTTAGGTAAGCGTTTGGTCACCATGACTATGTCTTACAGGACACCAGATTTATTTTATTGTATTTTTTTTTTAAGAAAAAGGAATTTGTCGTCAGTCTGATCAATATTTATGATCAGTTAGATGATCCATATATCCAAAATACAGCACAACGATTAAATCCAGTGTGGTCCCCTTTGACACTGAGCAGAGAAATGTGTTACAGTGATAACAGCAGAGAGCATAAACAACAGTTTGTGGAGGGCTTCAGTAAAACAACAACAGTCAGTTGATCAGATGATCAGTCTGATGCTCGGGAAGGAAATGTCTGTTTATTTTATTTTTTTAAATTCTGGATCTAAACTAATATTTAAACCTACCCACAGGTTTGAGGAAGGATAGCATGACTTACTGTCTTGTTAATTTTGAGACAAAAACAAATTACGTGCCGTCTGTCTCCGGATAACTAAATCTCTCTGTACTCCTCTTCGTTCTATTCCTGTCTGTTCTAAGAGGTTTACCTGTTCTTCCACCACTGCAACAGATTTCCTGTGTGTCCAGACTTTTTCAGCCCTTCTGTGTACTTGAGCTTTTCCAATCCACCCACCACTGTAATCAGATTAAAAGAAAGAGAAACCTGTTGGTGCTTTCAGCCTCGAGTGGGACAGAAAAGACACCTCAGTGCTCTGTGGTTTCCTCCTTCAGGAGGTGCGTTGGGTTGCGAGCAGCTGGAGGGATGCCACCGGGGCCGGAGACACATTGTTCCCGTCATACCAACCCCTTCATCCTGCTTTATGACTGATGCTTGCTTGACAGTTTTGGAGATCTCATCACCCGGGGCCTCAGGAACGTGATGACAGGACACTGGCTTCGGCCACAGGTGAGACTCTGCAGAAAGCAAACAGCCTGACAAACACACAAGAATAGAAAACATCTAAAATGAAATTCCTCTGATTCCCAAAAGGATTAAAATGTTGCATACAACCTCTGCTGCCCTTAACTGTCACTCAGTCAGCGCTGAGAACCAGTGGGACTAACAGATTCTATGTAATTATATATTTTTTATATATATAACAAGAAATACTCAGAGAGTGCAGACCGCCGCTGAGGCAGCTCACTCTCTGAGTATTTATTTTTCAGAAAATATTATTGTATTTTTATATGTTTAGTTTTCTTTGATCTTTTTTAACGTACTTTAAGAAGTTTGTATTCCAGTAAAAACAAGTGCAAAGTGGAGGCTTTTGTCATTTCCCATTTTATTTTGTATAATACATTAGCAATGAAGTTATTGGTTAGTTTAGTTTGTTAATAACTGGACATGAATAACTTGAGTCTATTATGTACTACAGTACATTTCTAGCTAACTAAGCAGCTCATTCTCTTTCTCTTAACAAAACATCCTTTAAAGACCAAATCATTTCTGTGTGAACTTGAAAGAAAAGCAGATGTGAAATGTAAAAGTAGATCATAGTTATGAAAGTGTGACCTTATTTGGCCTTGAAGAAGAGGTCAGAGGTCCAAAGTAATGTCATATTTAGATCCTCATACATCTTTGCCTGTATACGTTCATGTTGTCAGTGCGAGCGATGACATTGAGAAGTACTTCTATTTAGGAGACCCCCCCTTAAAAACCAAACAATTGTTCTGGGCAATTGATGTAAATATTGGAAACCACCTTTCAGGAACATAATTATTGAGCACTGTGTATGTACACAATGCTCCTGTGCTAGAATAAAAAGGATGGCATCAGATTTTGATGTTAGACCAATGAAAGCAGCACTTTCCCCAAAGTTAAGCTGTCAGTAGAAAAAATGCAGTGTGTAATAATCTGTCGTCTGTGTAATCCTTCAGAGTATGAACACGCCGTTCTGTCAGAGCTATGAATGGGTACATTGTGTCTCTATGGGAAGAAACATTCCTATTGTTTGTAAAACCTGGTAAAAATTGACAGCTTTTATTTGCCTGCCAGGACCAGCGCTGCTTAGAGCGCTCAGGTTTGTCTGTAAGATTCCTAAATAATAACAAAGGGATCAATTTTTTGTGATAAATGAAAACAAGGCTTGGATTTCAGCCAACAGTCATTGCACAGGCCTATTGAAACCATAGATCGAGCACATTCACTCAAGCACGGATTTGCATCCTCTAATTTGCTTTTGTTTGTTCTCGCTGGCACTTCCTCCTCTCCCACAAGGCAGCAGTAATTATCCAAGAGTGAAAGGGGCCCCAAGGAATGCCGGACCCTCCGCAGCCGACCGGAGCGCTGAGAGCAACACGTGTTTGTCACAGTGACTAACTGGTTTACACCCACACTTGTTGGAGGGGATAAGCTAAAGTGAAATTAAGGAAATGACATCAAACAATGTTTGTTCTTAGTTAGTGTGGACGTTTGTGGCCTGGAGAAGCCTTCCTAAGTGGGTTACTGGTTCTCTGAATAATACCCACTCAGCTCCAAGAGAGAGTTATCAAACACATGCAAAGTTACATCATCTGGTTCATTTCTGTCATTTTTATTGGATTTTTTACTAAATATATTTGAATAAAAGCCCTTTGAGTTGTAACATGCATGCAGGTGAAAGGTTATGAATCCTGGGAGCGGGACGCCCACACTCAGGGAGACAGCAGAACACAGTCGTGTCCTGAGTGCTCCACAGTTTCCTCCCCTGGTCTTTGTGTACATTCACAGCCAGCGTGCATCACCTTTCAGTCCTTTAGTGTTTATTCTTCTCGTGTTGGTCATCTTACATTTCTTTGATCGTCTTGTGTATCTGTATTTATTTACAATGTATTATATACAGGGACTAGATAGACATTATCAAAGCATCTTAGGTCAGCTAGTTTTTTCAAGTAAATTGTTAAAAAGTACTTTTCTGTGAAATCGCTGTGAATGAATATGTGGCAGTGAGCTTGTTCTTGGTAATG